ATTTTTTAAGAGGTACATCGGACTTCTTCGGCTTAAATCATTACACTTCGAGACTTGTGGAAACAGTTCCACGAGTACCAGGACACGCGTGGTACGATTATTCTGGCGTGAATACAAGTGTAGATCCATCATGGTCAAATACCGCATCGGATTGGCTTAAAGTTAGTTAGCATAAAAGATGTGTATTGATTGCATGTATCAAACTGTAATTTTTCGTCTGCTAGAAATTTTTGTTTGTGTAAGACGTGGTAGGAATTTATTAATTAAATCCTAATAACATATCAGGCATAATTAAGTAGTATAGATAGCTTGACTTATTAAAGAATACTTTTGAATAATTCTTAAAGTGAATTATTAATAGTTTGTACTCCACGTTATAAATTGGAAATGAGGTTCGAGTATATTTCAGAAAATATGCATATTATATTTCCATAATACGGCTGAATCAAACATAACTGGTGAAAGTATGATAATTATAGAAAATTTAGTAATTAACTATTACTAATTGTTACGAAGTAAGGAATATAGTGTTCCACTGTGAATTAAATTTGTTGCCAATATCATTTTTCTTAAATATAATCTTTACATAAACAATCATAATTTTTCTATCTAGGAGTGAAGTATTAGCACTAATAAAGTATTATTTGTATTCAGGCATATACAGAAAGTTGTAAATATTTTAGGTTGTTCCCATTGGATTTCGAGATATTATTAAGAAGATTTCAATTGAGTATGATTACCCAACTATCTTCATTACAGAGAATGGTTTCTCTGATAGATGTTGTATATTTGATAATTTAAGAATATCCTACTTACATTCTTATATGAAGGAAATGTTAACTGCCATTCAAGAAGATGGATGTAAAGTAGAAGGGTATGCTGTGTGGAGTCTGTTAGACAATTTTGAATGGTCCAGTGGTTATACGTGAGTCATTATTTTGTACATATTTATGAACGCTTGTAAAAATTTATATGTATTTTTTATTATTCTGACAGAGAACGGTTCGGCATGGTAAGCGTTAACTTCACGGATCCGAATCGAACAAGAACTCCAAAATGGTCTATGAACTGGTATAAAAATGTTATTGCGACCGGAAAACTTTCACTTGACGCTCATCAAATCACAGCAAATCATACAAATGTTTAAATAAACGTTTGTTGAATAATATATAAAACAATTGCTTGGATAAATATTCCGCTATTCGTATGAAAGATTGTTGGACTAATTATATGTAAATTACAGAATATACAGTCGCCTAACTTTGAAAAGTGATGCCGCTGTTATTAAAATATTGTTGTTGAAATATTATTAAAAAACCATTGCATCTCATATGTATCTTGATTATGAAACGGATTACCCACATGCGAATAAAGATGACTAAATACTTGTATATGATCGGTGTGTAGAAATTTTTAATTTTTGGAAGTAGTATTATTTATTATAATCTGAATATATAACATTTCGATCCACGAACAGTAGTTGGATTGTGGAAAGCAATCATAGCAATCATGACTCGAGAAATAAATAAAGTACAATGTTTCAAAAAGAAGTAATCGCATGTCATTACGCTCGGAAAATATTTTTTATCATATTTATGGCGAAAACCTTGTTAAAGTAACGTGTGCATTTTCAGTAGAATGAAATAATTCATTGAGGGGGGTCTTTATTAGTTTATTATATTTATGCCTATAAACTTTCTCAATCTAGTGATTTTCCGTGGAACGCATTTCGAGTGGTTCCTGCGGTAAGTAAAATCAAAGTTGTGTGTTAAACCAGAAACAAATTTTAACCAACAAGAATATAACATAAAGTAATACTATTATCATTGAATGTTATTTATTATACAACAGAATTGTATGCAATGGCATTGTTTTGTACATACTTTACTATTATAATCTCAAATTGTCGTAGCTCTCAATGTGTCACTGATGTATCATAATCTCATTTAATAAATTTGTTTCTAACAGTGAAATAGTTTGTCAAGCCAAACGACTGTAAGTTGAATTAGGCT